GGGGGGGGGGGGGGGAGGGGGAGACAAAAGTTTGTTTTGTCAATGTTCAATAACTTTGTAATATTGACTGGAATGATCTCAAGGGTTTTGTCCACTGAAGATTGTAGCCATGGCCACGGGTCATGTTATGCAAATGTTTAATGATTTGCATTATTCAAACCCTTATGGCTGGTTTATCAAAGTTTCGGTGATCACAGCAGGAATTTTGCATAGGTAAATTCTACGTTTGGAAGAAAATCTGACAATCTGTAAGAATTGTTTGAGCTAGGGAACTGGTCAGTTCTCTCGAACATTTCTTACAAATCCTTCAAGGCTTAGACTTTACGTACTGTTTAAAAAACTCATTAGTCAGGGAAAGACAAAGGAAATCACTGCCGCATGTCGGTGTTTTTATATGTGATCAAAAATCATGTCATTTACATGAACTTTAGCTTTGATTTTCTCGGCTTAGATAACGTTTATTTTTAAAATATTACTTCGCCAGTCCGTGCTTTTATCAGATACAAAACTGATACATGATGATGACTGAATCTTAGTCGAAAGCTAGAATATTAAAATGTTTATTTTCGGAGTTATCGTTGTTTTATATTTTATTAAAACACTCAGTGGTTTCCGTAATTTTTGATAAAGCACGCCTGCTCGTGTTTCAAATAGTACAAAATTCCTACTGTGATCCAGTGTTGTAACGAGTCGAGTCATTGACTCTGACTCTAGTCAACTCGAGTCGCTATTTTCACTATAGCTGCCCAGATACTGTTATAGTTAAATGACTAAAGTAATTAGTTTAAAACGCAAATTTGATTACTAATTTGCGACTGCAAGCTAGGGTAGCTCAAGTCAAGTCTAGAAATTGACTCGACTCGACTTAAATCAGTGACTCGACTTGACTCGAGTGAAGCCGCTGACTCGACTCGACTCGAGTGAAGCCACTGACTCGACTCGATCAAAAACTGAAATGACTCGACTCGTGACTCGACCTTTGAGTGACTCGACTCGACTCGTGACTCGACCTGTAGGTGACTCATTACAACACTGCTGTGAGCACAGAAACGTTGATAGTGTTAAGTCCATATGGTCGTAACGGTGGTAAAGATTGAGTCACGATGCCTCTCATCAGCCGAAATACAACATTTTAGAACTGAAATTACGCGGAGTGATTATAACTAGAGAACAATGATGTTTGTGATGTTACTCTGAGTGTGCATCCACACAGGGCAAGCTAGCTGAAAAGTTA